TTACCATGAGGCAGGTGCAGTTAATATTCTTCTTCCTCCTCCTCCTCCTTCCCCTGCTTCCTTTTATAACTGCCTTGTTATTTAATCCTTTCCATATGCTACTCATTTAGAGAGAAAAACGTGATGTAATATACTTGTCACACATTATGTTCTGATGATTCTTGAAGGCAGTGTGTTGTTTCTAGGAGAGGATGTCATGATCTATATAGGTAAGGTTAGTACTGGGTAGTAACAAATATGCAAATTATGATTACTTAATAAACCCAGAGAAGAGTTTATTGCCAGAGTTATTTTCATATAGAAAATAGTCAGTGAATGTCATATTGTTCAAAAATGTTCATAATATTCAGAAATCTTAAGCTTCCTTTCCTAATGAATGACTTTCAGATTTTAAATACTAATATATATAATTAGGTCTAAGGTTAAAGAGAGAGACAGTATGCCCTGCAAAATATTAGCAGCATTATATTTTATAAAATAATTATATTTTGACCTTTCATGTATTAATAACAGTATTAATTTTGGACTAATATTAATTTTATTATGAAGTCAATAATATTGGTGGGAAAAAGAATTTGTTCGGTGAGATAATCATTCTCCAACAATTTTATGTGTACTTAATACCTAATGAAATGAGATAAGCTCTATGGAGAGTCAGAAATTTCAGACACATAACTTGTTCAGTAGTATACTCCCACATCCAATCAAGTATTCTGCACAAAATGGAATCTTAATAAATATTTGTTGAATTTCATATAAGAAATATTTTGTATCAGGTGAATTAGGTTTTTAATTCTAATTTAGTTCTTACAGAAAATGTATTTTAAGGCAATATATAGTGATCTTTGAAAGAAGTATAAATTTACACTAAGGATATTTAAATTAAGTGAAATGTATTTTATTTATTAAAATGATTAGCTGGGCACACAGTTACAAATTGTGTATTTTGTCAATGTCTTTCTTAGACTTTTCCCAGCATTTTACATAAGTGAAGGGTCAAATGTGAAATATGTAATTAAAATCTGTTTTAATTGATTTTTATTTTATCTGAGCTTCTATATATCTGCTTAGTTCATTATTATTTTTGCTAGGGATAATAAACCTTAAAACATAGTTTATAGGGATTTCTGTCTTTTACAAAAGGTATCTTTAGACTGATTTTTTTATGTGCTTAAAGATTACCTGTGTTATAAAAACTTGGTGGGCAGAGGCATACTTAATATAGTGCAAGTTTAGGATAAGTTTTAAGTATTACTGATGAGTGGTTGAATTAATTTTTCACACATTCTTATTTTCATCATCCTTTTCCTCTGTTCCTAAATTGTCTTACAAATTTCTTGGTTTACAGTCACTTGTGAAGCCATAGTCATATCTCCGTAACATTAAACAATCATCAAATATACAATTATTTAGCAAATAAAGGGAGGAGATTGTAAGCATGAAGCCCTGAGTTCAAACCCCAGTCTCACCAAAAAAAAGAAAGAGATAATAAGTCTGTATGTTAGTGTCTTCCTGTTTAATCAATGGAAAGCTTTGCTGACTGCTAACAAAATACAAAAGTCACTCTTGCTTAGGATCATGAACATCTTACTGTTTATAATAGGGTTTGGGCATTGACACCTAGTAAAATATTTGTACTCAGTTCTACTAGTGGTGTGGACAAAGTACTATGATTGAGAGGGAGAGATTCTGCCAAGTAACCAAGCAAGATTGGCAAAGAAGTTTTCATAGGAGAGCTTAGGTTAGAGTGGGCTCTTAAATGAACACTGGTAGAATTTCACAGAGGAGATGGTAAAATGAATAAGAAAGGGAAGAAATAGGTACATAGGCAAAAGTTCTAACTTGAGTGCACAGAGATCAATGGCTATGTGCCTGATAAGGTAAGTTAAACCAAGTGTGCAAAATTTAATCTTTTCCTGGAAGGTCAAATAGGACCATCAGTAGGACTTATGCAAGGGAATAACATTATCATGTGTATGTTTCAAAAAAGGAGATTTTTCTGAAATTTCAAATTGAAAGGAGAATAGCTAAGTAAAAAGAACATAAGTGTTTTTCAGACTTAGTGTCAGATTGGATTATGGTGACATTCTCCCAGATAAACGGCCAAGGAAAGAAGTAGTTTAGTGAATTAAGATGATGAGTTTGCTGTGGGATATGTTTAATTGATCTAATTTTGGGAAACACAAATGAGGGCATTCAAATTGGAAATACATATTTTTTCTGAAAGACCCACTATTTCAAATTAAAGTTTTGTTGGTAAAGCTCTATATTGTGTGAATATAAGTAACCCATTTTCAATGATTATTGTTTAAGGAATCCACTTGATAAATACCTATTCAGAACCTTATTAAGACACATTAACTACAGATAATTTTGCTGTACTTGTGAGGTTGTGTAAGAGGCTGCAAGTATATGGATTTGGTGACATTTACTAAGGACCTTGAAGGATTATTGAAAAATTACCTGGCTGTTACATGACACTGTCTGAACCAAAGTTGGTAGTGACAGAAGCTGAGCTGAAATACAAAATAATATTTTTTAAAGTATGGACAGGATATTAACACTTTACTCTCCAACTTTATGCAAGATATACTTGAGAGACACTGTTGAAAATGGAAGCAGATGCCAACATTCATTTCATCTTTCCTAAAGAGGCGCAGAAGCTTATACTGCAGATTCAGGAAAATTACTTAAAATGTGAATAAATTTCTCATCAGAAATGAATGTGATATGAAATGTAAAAATGGATCCTATCTCTAACTGGGATTGCATAACCAGTTACACATGGAATAATGTGATTGACAATAGTGGTTTCCCACATTTGTCTGTTGAAAACAGTGGACTAGCCAAATGACACTGAGTTTGGCTCTTTTTCTCCACAGATTTCATTATTGGAATAATTCAGAAGTCCACCCACCAATATGGTTAGATGGTTTGTGCTCTGAGAAAACTAGTATGTAGTTAGCTGGCTTTAGGTAAATCATTTAGCCTAAGCATGCTTGACTTTCCTCATCAATTACATAAATAGAGGGAAGTCATGTATTCTTCTAACATTTTACCAAAAAATTGTACTTATATATTTTTCTAGGGAGAGATCCCTACCAACTAAGCTCCTTTTTTATTAAATTAAAATTTTAAGTTGGCAGATAAAAATTGTATATACTTCATGTTGTATACAACATGAAGTTTTAAAATATGTATACATTATAGAGAGATTAAATCAAGCTGATTAAGACATGTGTTACCACCCATGCTTACCAATATTTTGTGGTAAGAACATGAAAATCTACTTTTTCAGTGATTTTTCAAAATATAATGCATTAGTATTAACTATAGTCTCCATGATGTACAACAGATCCTTTGAACTCACTCCTTGTCTAACTAAAATTTTGTAGCTTGTGACCATTATCTGTGCACCCTGTACTATGCCTTCCCCTAGTTAAGGTTGTTGATTGCAAACAGCAGAAACCAATTTCATTAATTGGAAACCAAAAAGAATTCAGGCTCCGAATGCCAGTTTGGACCATCAGCCCCTGTAGCAGCCTGGGAAGGCCAGGCATCGCTTGGCATCAGTCTTTGCTGCTGTTCTCATGAATGTTGCTTCTGTGTGCTGAGTTCAGCTGCTCTGGACAGTCACTGTTCACTGCACCAAGAGCCTCCAGTGGGTCCCTATTCAGGCCACCAAAGGGCAAGAAGAAGGAATATTATTGGAGAGGGGCCACTGCCACTTGCTGAAAATGAAACCCCTCCAAGAAGAAAGAAAGATTTGTCCAGGGGCAGTCAGAACAATACTACTTTATTGTTATTCTCACAGGGATGCTGGTCCCACTACTTCTGCCAGAAAGATTATGAATGACTACTTTAGATTATCTGTAATTACAGCTCTGAAATTATATGATTCTAAATACTAATTTTTCTTTCCTCCATCATCTACTAACTACAGATTTCTTTAACAAAATACAAGTGCTGCAAGAGAATGACTAACAGCATTGCAGGGTCAGCCCTGAAGCATCTTAGGGTCATTTCAGTGGGTGTGTAATTATGATGGTTGGGCTGATGACAGAGAGTAACAGATGTCTTGGAGCACTGACACCCAGCTGATTTTTGGCAGGCCAGTACAATTCTGAAGATAAAAGGAATATTCTTTCTTGTGTAGCCTTGTGATGCTGTGTTGTGAGTGCACTGGGGTGCATGCAACGTGGCTTAATGGTTAGGTACACAAGCTTTAGTGTTAATGAGAATTAATGTGAATTTTAATTTTATTCCTAACTAGGTGGTTCACCATGAATAGTCACTTAGCCTTAATATATCTCAATTTCCTGTTCTGTAAAATGGTAGTAATAATGCTACCCAATGTGTGGTTATAAAAACAAAATGATGTAATCAAGGAATTACAATGTTTGCAACATAGTTACAGCTAAATAAATAATGACAAAAATCATTATAATCTTAGTATTTCAGGGATTTCCTAAGTGTACCCAAACTCATTCCCAAAAATGTTTGCACTTTTAAATTTTAAGTTAAAATAATATTTTGGGGTCATGTCTTTTGACATAATGTTCCATGTTAAAGTGAGTTCAGGAACTACGAGATTAACCACAAATAATCACTAAAATATCACACTGTGTTTAGGAACATTTTTTCATATGTGCGGTTCCACCCAAAATTAAAAAATAATTTAAAAATGACCACGTTATGCTGAATTAGGCCAAAATACATAAACCGATTCAATTTTACATGGTACCATTAAACTAAATTGACTACAAAATAGCCCGCGAGTTTCATAATTGAATTACTCTTCACAGATGAGTGAAACAAAAAGTAGAGTAAGACACACGTGTGACTTCTGAGCCACCCACTGTCACTGTACGTCCTGACCTTGACGTCTGTGCTTGACCTTCAGACGTAGCTGGGATTAATTTAACAGTGTGTAACGCTGAGCTTGCTCCCTGTCTCAGGCTGCCGGGCCTCACACCTCCTTCTTTCTTGGTACACTCCAGGTAAATGCGAATGTGGAGCGTGCACTTGCTACCCTCCGGGCGACGGCAGGGTGTACGGCAAGGTCTGCGAGTGCGACGACCGGCGCTGTGAGGACCTGGACGGCGTGGTCTGCGGAGGTGGTAACCGTTCGCGGCCTCTCACTCTGCTTGTGCTTTCTAGATTGCCTCACACAGAAGGGCAGCAAACACCAATATGCCTTTAGACCTAAAAGCAATGCACAATTAGGTTTGTCACGACCTTTATTTCCTTGAGCTCCTGGGTCAGGGGTCGGTGCAAGCACACAGGGCGCTCACTGAGAGATCAAGTTCAGGGTCTCCCAGCTGTGACAGGCTTTGCGGCAAGTCAGCACTTCATGTGATTTTCATCGCTTTACTCACAAGCATGGACGGGAGACGCAGTTGTTACCCAAAACCTTGAAAAACGCTGCGCTCTAAATTGAAGTACAAAAGTTACAGGCTGATGGCTCTCAGTCAGAAACTACCCAGAGAAAGACTGAGGTGGGAAGAGAGTAGTTGGCAAAGTTGCAAAAATGAAAGTCCCGGAAATGGAATGTGACCTCGACATCATCCAGAGGAAGGGATGGGAGTCAGAAATTTTCCTGTATTTCAGTCTTCTTTTTTTTTTTTTTTTTTTGGCAGCACTGTCATCTAAACTCAGGGTCTTACAGTTACTAGCACCTATTCTACCACTTCAGCCATACCCCAAGCTCTTTTCTTTAGCTTCGGTTATTTTTCAGACAGGGTCTTGTGTTTTTGCCTGGGGAAGGCTTTCGACATCAGTTTTCCTACCTATGCTTCCTGCACAACTGGAATTGTAAGCTTTTTGTTGAGATAGGGAAGTCTCACTAACTTTTTGCCCAGGCTGGCCTCAGAACTGCAATCCTCCCAATCTCTGCCACCTGAGTAGCTGGGATTACAGATCTATCTGTGTCCAGCCTCATGTTTCAATTTTGAAACACTTCAAATTGTAGAGATTGATGAATGGGGCTGCAGTTCCTTCTAGGTGTTCAATAGAATTGAAGTGAATTAGACATGGAAACACATGAAATGACTATAATTATATCTCTCCAAGATAATTAATGTAGTGCATTTATTATGAAAAAAACCCTCAAAATATATATCCTATGTATAGAAGACTAGGGAACCGTGTATCTCTGCCATCTATCTGACATCTCTGCTTTCTCTCTATCATCTATCTATCCACCTGTCTGTCTTTCTATTTACCTACCTATCTCAATAATTTGTTCTGTTTCTAATCTATTGTAAAACTTAGATTTTTGCAATTTGACTAAAAATATTTTCTTCTTTCCCTGTAAGCCATGGGGAAAGCCCTTTTAAATAACTGTTGTTCTAAGACAGCATTTCTTCTCTCTTCATTTCACAAATGAAAAAATGGAATGAAGTTGGAGAAATTAATATCCTAGCTAAAAAAAATACAGAACCAAGATTTGAGCTTTGAAGTTCAATTCACTGATCTTTCCCTATGCAGTGGTTTTCTCCAGAGTGATATTGAGTTGTTCACATTATGTTTCTATTATTTTAAGGTTAAATCTTCCTTTCACTGGTGTTTGTTGTTGGAAATGTCTACGTAAATTATAAGTATTTTTGTTGTTAAGGGACTTAGTATTTATAAATTCATTTGACTCTCACAACAATATGTATATAAAGTCTGTCCAGCACCTGGAAAGTCCTACACACCTGAGTCCACTCTTACTATCATTGTCCTGTCTCTGACACACAAGGAGACCTCATGTGGGTCTCCTTGGCCAACATCATTGGTAACTTGAAGTGGTTGATTTTATAGAAACATGTTATATCTTTATAAAAATTTTATTGCCATAATTTAATTGTACAAAGGGGTTTCACTGTGATACTTACAACTCATATATAATGTACTTTGATCAAATTCACCCCATCTATGTGTTATATTTTTATATCCATTAAATTCTATGTTTTTCTTCCATGATTTTTCTCTTTATGTCCAACTTTGAGGAGGAAATCAAAATTAAAAACAAGCATGTGTCCATGTCAATGAGATCAGATGCTAATTGGATAAGTGTTACAACATCTTATAGAGTGATATTATTTGATTAATTCTCAGCTCTGCATGTTGTCCATCTACACAGAGCTGCTTGTGTCCCAGGGAGAAGAGAGTTCCATGAACCAAAGTAGTAAAATACCACTGTATAAACCAGAGTTGCAATCACTCAATTTACAATAAGAAATGGAGTTGCCCTGGATATTATAACTCTTTGTAGGGAAGCAAAGGTAAATCAGACTCTGAGATATATATCTGTTGTCATTTATTTGAAAAGTGAAGGAAATGCTGGTGGGAAAGCTGAAGGCATGGCAGGAAAGAGAAGACAGCTGATAAAAGTGGTGTAGTCAAAGTCACTGCTAGGGTCAACAAGAGCTTCATCCCAGAACACAGGATGAAACTCTGGGTGCTATGTAAAACATACGGTTCTTACAGATCCATCACTTGTTGCTAACACCTGCTTTTGAAAAGGCATTTATTCCCCTGCCACATCTGCATGCCTCACAGGTGTATGATCAGAGCAGGCTGCTGTGGAGGGTGAAAATCTTCCTGCAGGAACCCAAGATGGTGCCAGCTGAAGTCTCCAAAATGGTAAGGTTGAAGGGATATCAATGGGCCCACCTGCAGCTGCCACAATGTAGTTTCCAAAGGAACACCACTTTCTGTATCAGGTATTCTGGATAGTGAAGCAGCAGACACCTCAGCATATTTTTTGCAGTTTTTATTTAATTCTTTTTTTGTTTTTTGAGGCAGAGACTCATTACATAGCCCAGGCCAGTCTGGAATTCTTTATCCTCTTGCCTCAGCCTTCTAAGTGCTAGAATTACAAGTGTGCACCACTATGCCCAGTTGGGCATATTCTTATTATTTGAACACTATCTAGATTTTGTGAACCATACCTTCCTCTCTCTGCCTTTATACAGGATGTAATAGATTAGATAACAGCTATAGACATGCTGATCCACCTTATCCTGTCAAAACCTTGATAAAATTTAGGAGATTCTTATTCACACACTTAGAGAATATTTTTCAAAGGGCTACTTTTCTCAATATAGGTGATGCCACGTAACTTCACCATCAGAAGATGAACCCATTTTAAGTTTTGTTTAGGGTATCGCTGCTGTTCCTATACACAAGGAAGAGGTCCCTCCTGCTAGAAGCAGGTAAATAGTGGTCAGATATGCAGAGCATCTTTGATTGCCATAATCAGATTAATTTCTAGTTTGCTTTTTCTTTTGTTTTAATGACTAACTCTAAGAAATCATACATTAATTTGATTTCATACTTTAAATTTTATTTAAAACCTTGTATCAGTTCAAAGATCTCTGAACATTCTTCAAGTTTGTAAGGAAACAAGTCTTAGTAATTTCCCTTGGAAATGTATGTTATCATTTGTGAAAAGTACTTGATATTCTAATGAAGTCCTTGAGAGTTGTGGACTAGGATGATACCAATGTTTTAAAAGATTATTTATAGATAACAGTATTTGATTTGCTTACTGTCTCCTGCTTCCCCAGGTTCACTTAAGATAACTACTGAGGTCACAGCTCAGAGCTTTATGCTCTGCCACAAATTCTGTCTTGGGCTTATGTTTACATCTTTGTACATCCCACTGAGTCCTATTGCTTGGAGAGGGAAATGTGGTGGAGGCAGAGATGTTTTCACAATGGCATGGTCGTGTTCATCATAAGTAATAATATAATGCTAGAGATGCTACATCTGATTTGTCAGCTTGCACAGGCAAGTTGGGATTGCCTCTGGGATTCCTCCTCAAGGTACAGTCAGTTCTTATTATTTGTGGTAGTTATGTTCAAAAAGGTAACCCTGAGCACTGAATTAACAAATATTGAATCATCATTCCTAAGGGAATTTTGGGGTTAGGTTGTTAATTTAGAGGTTGGGTTATTGCCTTTGGTCACAATATTTTCACCAATCATTCAACATACAACTTTGTTCAGTTTACATTTCTGTTTAAAGACTCCTCATTTAGTATATAATTGATGCATTAACCTGGAACATAAGGCAAACAGCACTATGAACTCTAACCCAAGAATTTTTTTTTTTTTTTTTTGGTAAGGCACATCACAGTCTTCTAACACTTAGGAACATTGGAAAGTTCTTCAATACTACACTTTGGAACCATTTGAAACATTAAAGTCACCAAGACAAAAAAATATAGCACTAAATAGACCATGTGAAGGATACTTTTTTCTATAGAATAGCTGAAACAGGAAGGTAGAGCCTGACCTTCCTTGACCTTAGCTGGTTATGAGTCTCATGCAACTCAGTGTTTTTCACCATTCTATATGTGTTCTCAAGTATCTAGAATAGCTCTATGAGTATTGACACTGGTGTTACAAATTATTTTTACCAAAAAGGTGAATTTGCAAGAGAATGCAAATTCTGGGATTAATGAAAACTATAATTTACGTTAAACTCCACTGGACAGTTGAACAGTGTCTCTCACTTTAGCATTGCACTTCATTTCAGGTTGTTATTTAAGGAAGTTATTAAAGGTAATGTGTTTTCAATTTCTCTATGTTCTGATTATGGCTTTATGAAAGGGATTATATAGACCTTGGCTGTTACAGTATTGAATTCCTCCTAGGTCTCAACTGTTCTTTGAAAAGTAAATATAGGAGATGCTCTATTGTGGAACATATTTCAATTTGTAGCAATTTGAGTACTAAAATATCCAACACAGCACAGCAGCTGATTAAGAGATCACAAGTTCCCATGGCTTTCATAAACATTTACTTCAATGTAGTTAATGTTTAAAAACATTGTTTAAATGGTAGAATGGGGCAGTAGATCTTGGATTCACCTTTGCTTCCACCAATTACCACCCATATGGTCTCAGGAAATTTACATAGCCTCAGTTTCTTATCTATAGAATAATAATGATAGCACCTCTTTTGTGGGATTGTTGTGAGATTAAATGAGTTGATGTGTATGAAGTACTTAGGACAGTACCTGTCATAGATGTGTCATCTGTTTTAGGTAATCACTATTGTATACATATACAAAGAGTGAACGAGGCCATTTCTTCAGATCTAAGCCGGTTTGATCTACAACTTTG